ATGATGACCCAAGGGCCTTCCAGGAAGGAAAGAGAGGGGCAGCTGCCAGCGACATGCCTGGGAGAATGGGAAACCGGCATATCTGCCACCTATTTATAGGACCCCTCTCATATTATAACTCAAAATGTTCTTTACTATGCACATCTAATCAGTCCTAACCATTTAACCAAATCTTGCCTATTATACCTCCTTAACATCGATTCTTCTTTATCTCTAACAGGCCCTTAACTTGGGGCCTCCTCTTTCTCACTTAAATGATTCCCCTGGTCTTCTAGGTAGACTCCCTGGCTCCATTCTCTCCTCCACTATTCTACTCCTTACAGGTTCCTGACTGGTCAAAACTTCCCCAACCCTACGGTCTGGAATTTAACACTTTGACTCTATTCTGCCTCTCTGGTCTCTTTTCTCACCACTTTTTTTCCTCTCTATATACATTTCAGTCAAACTTGAAGTCCCTCAAACATTCACTAGTCTCTCTTTCTCAGTATCACACAGTGAGTAAATGGCAGAAGCAGGGTTGGATCTGAGCCCATATTCTATACACATTCTCCCATCCTTATGTGTCTACTCTGCCACTAATGGGTGTGAGACAAGAATGCCATCGTAGAGGTAGGAGTCAAAAGAGAAAGAAGAATAGGAAGCTTTCAGTTCAGTTCACCAGATGCATATTACCATGGGCCTCGATTTGATGTCAGAGATAAAAAGATGAATAGGGTACATCCTCTTGGGAAGCTCATAAAAAAGGATAAAGCAAGAAAGCAGGGGCCTTGGTACCTGGAAGGTGGCCTTGTTGAGCTGTTTTGATTTCTTCATGGGAGGCTTAGTTTTTTTTTTTTTTTAAAGATTTTTTATTTGTCAGAGAGAGAGAGAGAGAGCACACATAAGCAGGCAGAGTGGTAGGCAGAGGCAGAGAGAGAAGCAGGCTCCCTGCAGGGCAAGGAGCCTGACGTGGGACTCTATCCCAGGACCCTGGGATCATGGCCCGAGCCGAAGGCAGCGGCTTAACCAACTGAGCCACCCAGGTGTCCCGGAGGCTTAGTTTTTAATGGCTGGAGACAAAATATGCCAGAGAAACTACAGAATAATGGATATACAAGCATTTCTGGCCACATTTGTAAGAAAGTGTCTTTCTGGGAAGCTCAGTAAGCTCATCTTCCTTTATAACACATGACATCATTGGCAGAGCTTGGCAACAATAATATCCATTCTGACACATTAAAGGATATTGCTATGGTGTCTTTACATCTACATATGCTGCTTTCACCTTCCTTTTGGGTCCTAGATTCCTGACCTTTTAAAGTATTCTAGTTGCTTGAGAATCCTTGTGCTTTGCTAACAGAATTAATTGTCCTTTTCTTCCTTCTTACCCCTCTTCCCCTCAGCTTTCTCCCTCTTTAGAGCATATGAACAACACAAAGATGGGTTTGTATCTTACCAGGTTGCATTTACCTGGACTAGGCAAGGAAGGAAACTCCCTGGCCTAGCCTTTTGGAAACCTATAGTTGCAGTTCTGTGCAACAGATGGAGCACAGGCACTGAAATCAGACAGGTCATCATTTGCAGTGTGACTTATGTTAACTAGGTAACTTCTTCCAGCCTCTATTCCTCATCTATGAAATGAGTGATTCTCAACTTCACACAGTTATTGGGGAGGTTTGAATGAAACTCTATACCTGAAAGGATCTGACCTGACACAAACTAGGATCTCAACAGACTTTTTTTTTCTATTAAAAAAAAAATTCACTTCTAAAATCTCAACAGCTTTTAGATACCCAAGCAGGCAAAGACCAGTCATTGTGGTGGAGGTATGTCTTGTCTGTTATTTGTCTAGGCAGAATTAATTGCTATCTCTTTGTTGTCTCAATACTTTGCACACAATTCTGCCATTTCATCTACTATACTATGTGTTCGTTATTTGTTAGTATCTTTTTCCCATATTTGATTGTGAGTTCCTCAAGGACTAAGATCCTATCTGATTAATTTATTTCAGTGGGTAGCAGAGGACATGGAGATCTGTCTTCTAATCTTGATATAAAAGCTGATTGAAGGGCACCTGGCTGGCTCAGTAGGTAGAGCATGTGACTCTTGATCTTGGGGTTGTGAGTTTGAGCCCAACATTGGGTATAGAGATTACTAAAAGAAGTAAGTAAACTTAAAAAAAAAAAAGGTGATTGACTCTAAGTGAGCCTCTCCAACATTCAGTTGCCTCAAAATAATTGATAATAACTACCTTCTATTGAGTGGCCACCATGCACAATGCATTATGCTCAGAGCATCACTTAACTGTGAGTTTTTCCTTTTAGATAATCTCTTAACAACTCTGCCCCCAAAGGTTAAGGACTACCTTTGGGGGACATAGATTTTCCTACATATTCCTTTGTAGCACCTTGGAATTTCATCATAGGAAAAATCGATTAAAAAAAAGTAGGATAATGGCTTAAAAAAAAAAAAGCAATTTATTTATTTCTGAGAGAGAGCAGGGGAGGGGCAGAGGGAGAGGGAGAGGGAGAGGGAGCATCTCCAGCAGACTCTCCACCGAGCAAGGAGCCTGATGCCTGCTGATCTCACAACCCCAAGATCATGACTCAAGTCGAAATCAAGAGTCAGATCCTCAGCTTACTGAGCCACCCACCGAGGCACCCCAATAGGATACAAGATCCTGACAGGGTTTCTGACAATAAAGCAAACTCCCTATCACTGAAGCCCCATTTATATTTACCAGGTTTTTCATCTTTGCCTTGCTAAGAACAACAATAATAACATCAAAACAGTGGAGCAATAATAATAACAACAGCAACAATAAAAACAACTGCAGATTTGTTATTTCACTTGATGTTGACTTTATGTGACCAGGTACTCCTTTCTTTTTTTTTTTTAATTTTTTTTTAATTTTTAAAGATTTTATTTTTATTTATTTATTTGACAGAGAGATCACAAGTAGGCAGAGAGGCAGGCAGAGAGAGGAGGAAGCAGGCTTCCCGCTGAGCAGAGAGCCCGATGCGGGGCTCGATGCGGGGCTCGATCCCAGGACTCTGAGATTATGACCTGAGCCGAAGGCAGCGGCTCAACCCACTGAGCCACCCAGGCGCCCCCCAGGTACTCCTTTCATACACCGGGTTTATGTGTATATCTCTGTAATTAGAATTCATTATTGCTTTCTAATTATTTGTTTATGACTTAGCTTCCCTACTGATCTCTATCAGCCGCTTAAAAATTGTATATATTTAAGGCATACTATATGATGTTTTGATATACATCTACATAGTGAAAAGATTACTTACAGTCAAGCTAGTTAACATATCATTTCCTCATATAGTTGTCTTTTGTGACGAGAGCACCTAAATTTATTCTCTTAGCATATTTTCATTATTCCATACAGTATTATTAGTTGTAGTCATCATGCTTTGATCTCTAAGATTAATTAATCCTGAATAACTGGAACTCTGTACCCTTTGACCAACACTTCCCCATTCTGCTCTCAACTCCTGCTCAGATGCCTGGTAACCACCAATCTGTACCCTGCTTCAATGAGTCCCAACTATTTTATTTTGTTTAAAAAATTTTTAAAAAATTTTTAAAAGATTTTATTTATTTATTTGACATAGAGAGAGCACAAGCAGAGGGAGTGACAGGGAGAGGGAGAAGCAAGGGTCCCTGCTGAACAAGGAGCCAGATGCAGGATTCGATCCTAAGACCCTGGGACCATGACCTGAGTGGAAGGCATATACTTAACTGACTGAGCCACCCGGGCATCCTTCTGTGACATATTTTATAACTTCTATTTGTATCTCTTAATCCCCTTCACCTATTTAGCCCATCCCCACCCACCTTCCCTCTGGACCATCAATTTGTTCTTCAAATTTAAGAGTAAAAACAAAAACAAAACAAAACAAAAAGAGTCTGTTTTGATTTTTAGAGACCACAGATAAGTAAAATCATATGGTATTTGTCTTTCTCTTTCCAACTAATTTAACTTAGCATAATATCCTCTAGGTCCATCTGCGTGTGGCAAATGCCTTTGCCTATTTTAAAATCAAGTTACTTGTTTTCTTGCTATTGAGTTGAATTCCTTATATACTTTGGATATTAACCCCTTAAAAGATGTATGGTTTGCAACTGTTTTCTTCCATTCTGTAGGCTGTCTCTTCACTCTGTTGATTGTTTCCTTTGCTGCACAGAAGCTCTTTAGTTTGATGAAATTCTCTATGAGCCTCTTAAGGGCAGGGACTACATATTATTCATCTCTGTATTCCCAAGATTTAATCAAAGGACTGGCACAAAGTCATGCTAAGTAAATGGTTAATGTGTGTAAAGCAAGTAATTGAATGTGCAGTGACATTATCTCATGTAGAAGGGGTGTGTCAGAGGGAAAACACTGCATAAACCAGACTGAGTTTGAAATTCAACTGCTTCAGTTGGTTGGCCCCAGACAAGTCTCTTAACCTGTCAGAGTATCTTTATATGTAAAATCAAGTGATAATATTTCTCTAACAAGCTTGTGAGGGATAAATTAAAGGTTGCTCTGAGAAAATGCATTGCAAGTAATGGTCAGTCAATAGAAAGTAGTTATTATCAATTATTATGAGACAATTGAATGTCAGAAAAGCTCACTTAGGGCCAATCAGCTTTTAAGTCAAGGTTAGAAGTCAGAACTCTCCATGTCTTCTGCTAGCCACTGGAACGAATTCATAGGGATCTCAGTCCTTGAGGAACTCACAATCAAATATGTGAAAGAGACAGGAACAACTAATACACAGTATGGTGGAAGACATAGCAGAATCGTGTGCAAAGCTTCGGCACTACACAGAGGTGGCAATTACGCCGGGAAGAACCGCAGTGAAGTTAACACTGAAGCTGTAGCGAGGGCGGAGTCTGGAGTTTTCTAGCTTCTGACTTTCAGAAGCTACCGGAACCAAGGTGCTGCGGGGATTGAGTGACTCTCGGTCTCATACTGTTACTGGACACGGTCGAGGCGTTCCGTCAGTGTTTTCAGACGCCCGGGGATCGCTGCAGGTTGGGCAGGTTTTCAGCTTACAGTTACCGGCCGCAGCAGCAGAGGATGAACGGGGCTCTGGGAAAGGTAACGTAGGTTACAAGCACTCTGGGCGCGGTGGAGGTGGTGGGGAGAATAGAACTCGTACGTGGCAACCAGACTATCACCGCCTGTGTAGACATCCGGGTATGAGAAACCGGCGAGAATAGGCTCTCCCGGCAGCACGCGCGGCGCCTTGTAGTCAAAGGGTTGCGTTCCCTCCACAACTTCCCGGGAGCACTCGGAGGCGTTTGCCAGTGGGCCACGCCCCCTCCACCAGCCACCCGGGCAGCCCATTGGCCTGAAAAAAGAACAGCTCCGCAGTGGGAATCTCGCAACCGCGATCAGTTCCAATAATTCGAATGACCTTGAGGAGGTCATTTTATTTTTGCATTTCCATAGTGTTTTTTCTAAGTATACCGTTTTGACTTGGTGACCAGATTGGGATGTGAGGCTACTTGGCAATATGAAAAGGAAATAACCTAAATTTTTGCTTACCAAACCTTATTTAAATGACTGCAGTAAAACCGTCTGAATCATGATAAATGCATTCCTTGGTCTTTCCTTGCCCTCTTAACAGATTTCAGTTGTGTTCTTTTAGTTGTGTAATGCTGCTCAGAATGATGACTTACTTTTAGCAATTTATATTAAAATTTTATTTTGAGCATTGTAGAAATTTTATGTCCATGATATATATAGATCAACATGATCTTTGCTGCTCATGGGTCTACCATTAGTTATCTTGGGGTGGTCCCTGAATGTCTTTAGGCTTGTTTCCTTAATGGCTCAAGCCTTACATCTTTATGAAATAACTCACTAATATTCACTTTTGTCTAATTGTGAGAATTTGGCCAGATCTGGTAAAAGGATAATTAAAAAAAAAAAAAAAATCAGGAAGTTTCAAAAGTCTACTGTTAAAGATGGTCAGATTGGTGACTCCATGGCCCTGTTGTATTTGCTTTGATTCTGAGGACTGCTGAAAGAGAGGCCTAAGTTTTCAAGGAATACTGTTTCCTACCATTCTAGACTAAAGGAGAGCCCATGTAAATCTGTCATTAGGGCATCACCTAAAGATAAAAGGGCATATAGGGCCTCTCCAAGTCCGATACCACTGCTACCTTCCAGATGCCTTTGTTACTGATTTTATTCTTCTACTCTGCCCTGCTGCTTTGGCTAGTCTCACTTGAAGTACCCTTACCCTTCTCACCACCTATTCAAATGCTACATCCTTGAACACCCAGCTCAGGTCTCATCTTTTCCATAAAACCTTTCTGACTACTCTGGCTAAAATGATTATTTTCTGAACTAGCTGGTATTATCTCTTGGCATCTAATCATATGTAGTCTTGTGACCATCTTTGTGACCATCTTCAGCCTGTCTAGAAGTGTTAATGTTTTACATTTATAAGCAAAACCCAGGGGTGTGTCTGGATGGCTCAGTCAGTTAGGTGTCTGCCTTTGGCTCAGGTCATGGTCCTGGGGTCCTGGAGTTGAGCCCCATGTCCCAAGGGGAGCCTGCTTCTCCCTCTTCCTCTGCTTTTCCTTCTGCTTGTGTCCTCTCTCTCTCTCTTTCAAATAAATAAATAAATAAAAAAAAAAAAAAAAAAGAAACCCAGGGGATTTGCATCAGACCTGGGGGTTCTATATCTTGCTATGTATATCACCTTAGATGGGTTATTTGACCTCTCTGTGCTTCAGTTTCTTATTTGTAAAATGCAGATGATAATGCCACCATTAGAATTGTTGTAACAATTATAGAAGATAATGTAAATAATAGTACTTGTAAGGTGTGAAGGCCTGTATATGCAGGAATATTGGTAGTATTCTGCAGTACTGCTTTCATTTTCATAGTTCATTCGGTTGTCACAGGTACAAGAAATGAAATGGAAGCTATTGGCACAGTTTCTGGTACATGGTAGGTTTTCAAATGTCCTACTGAATGCCTGAATTAATGAATGCTTTTTTAAAAAAAGATTTTATTTATTTATTTATTTGACAGAGAGAGAGAGAGAGAGCGCGAGAGAGGGAACATAGCAGGGGTAGTGGGAGAGGGAGAATAGGCTTCCTGCAGAGTAGAGAGCCTGAGGCGGGGCTCGATCCCAGGACCATCATGGCCTGAGCCGAAGGCAGATGCTTCACCATCTGAGCCGCCCAGTCACCCCTGAATGCTTTTTTTTTTTAATAGGTCAACAGCCAGTTGAGTGAACCATAGAGCTGAGACTGGAGCCTATTGTTTCTATCTCTCCTAAAACCCCACTGCTTTTCCTTTTTTGAGTATTTTATGTTTCCCTAATTGGTTAATCTTGCTTTTCCTCGTCTGTGAAATGCGGAATGAAAACCTTCGTTCACCTTTCCAAGTTGCCAATCCTTCCCTTTCCTATACAGCCCATTACCCTGATTCTCACATTGCAATGTAATAAATAATTTGCACATCTACTGTCTTCACTAGAAAGATTTGAAGGTAGGTAGCTCTGTGTATATATATATATATATATATGTATATGTATATATGTGTATATACATATACATATATATATAATTTTTTTTTTAGGATTTTATTTACTTAATAGAGAGAGAGAGAGATCACAAGTAGGCGGAGAGGCAGGCAGAAGGGGAGGCGGAAGCAGGCTCCCCACTGAGCAGAGAGGTGGATGCAGGGCTTGATCCCAGGACCCTGAGATCATGACCACAGCCAAAGGCAGAGGCCCAACCCACTGAGCCACCCAGGCACCCCTATATTTTCTTTATATGTATATGTACCCAGCCTACAGTGTACTTGACCTAAAGTAAGTACCTGATATATATTGAGCGAATAAGTGACTGAACAAAAAGTTCATGCCCTGAGCTGAAGGCCGACGCCCAACCGACTGAGCCACTCAGGCATCCCTGAGGTAAATATTTTTATAACCTCTTTAAAGATAAGGAGGGATACCTGGGTGGCTCAGTTGATTGAGTGTCTGACTCTTGGTTTTGGCTCTGGTCATGGTCTAGGGATTGTGGGATCGAGCCCCACACCAGGCTCCACACTGGGTGGGGGAGTCTGCGTGGGATTCTCTCTCTCCCTCTCTCTCTGCCCCCACCCAGAGTAAATAAATAAATCTTAAAAAAAAAATAAATAAAGATAAGGAAGTGAGGTTTGGAGGGATTTATTAATTCAATCAGCAGATATTTACTGACCACCCACAGTGTGCCAGAAAGTATGGTAGATGTTGGGATATAGCAGTTTCCTGTCTTTATGAAGCTTGTATTCTTAGCAAAAGAGACAGGCTAATTAAACATTTAACTACTTAACTAATTATGATAAATGCCACGAAAGGAGTATTCTGGGTGCTATGTGAGTGTTCAACAGCAGGATCCAAGTAAATCTGAGCAGTAAGGAAAGTTTTCTTGAGGATGCTACATGACTAAGACTTAAAGAATGATAGAATTTAAACAGAGAGAGTATGTGCAAAGGCCCTGAAATGAGAACGTATTTGAAGTTCCAGAGGTTTCAGAAGAAATTGGTAGGGAGAGAAGCAGCGGGGCTTGGATCAAGGGACAATATTCAGACAAATATGTGAATGAGACTTGGGGAGATGGTCGGGGATTGGACTTAACCTTTTAGGTAACCATGGGTATTTCTAAACAATTTAGCCCTGGAAAGAGGTAGGATATAGGCTTAACAAAGCTCAATTGTGGCCTGGAAATACAATCCAGCAGTTATGCTAGAAGGCCAAATGTTTCTTTCTTTTTTTTCTTTTTTAAAAAATTGGGATATAATTCACATACCATAATATTTACCCATTTAAGATGAACAATTCAGTGGTTTTTGGTATGTTCACAAAGTTGTGCTGCCATCATCACTGTCTAATTCCAGAACATTTTCTTCACTCCCAAAAGAAACCCTGTACCCATAAGCAGTCATTCCTCATTCATCCCCTGCCCATCCCCATGTAACCACTAATCTGCTTTCTTTCTGTGTCAATCTGTTTGTTCTGGTCATTTCATACAAATTTAATCATATGTATGGGAGGCTAAGTATTTCTTTTCTTTCTTTTTTTTTTTTTTAAATCCCGTCTTTTTTTTTTTTTAAAGTTTTTATTTATTTATTTGACAGACAGAAATCACAAGTAGGCAGAGAGGCAGGCAGAGAGAGAGGGGGAGGTAGGATCCCCACTGAGCAGAGAGCCCGATGTGGGGCTTGATCCCAGGACCCTGAGATCATGACCTGAGCTGAAGGCAGAGGCTTAAACCACTGAGCCACCCAGGTGTCCCGAGGCTAAGTATTTCTTAAGGGACTTGCCAAAGATCATACAACTATGAACGTGGAAGTTTGATATTCAAACCCAGGTTTGTATGAATCCATAAACTGTGCTCCTAAGTGCCATAAAAACTCAGTGCAAAGACAGACTCTGACAGTCACCATATTAAACATATTTTTAAAAAAGATTTTATTTATTTATTTGACAGAGAGAGACACAGTGAGAGAGGGAACACAAGCAGGGGAAGTGGGAGTGGGAGAAGCAGGCTTCCGGTGGAGTAGGGAGCCCGATGCGGGGCATGATCCCAGAGTCCTGGGATCATGACCTGAGCCTAAGGCAGATGCTTAATGACTGAGCCACCCAGGCACCCCAACATATTAAACATATTAAGGGGCACCTGGGTGGCTCAGGAGGTTAAGCGTCTGCCTTCAGCTCAGGTCATGATCCCAGGGCCCTGGCATGGAGCCCTGTATCAGGCTCCCTGCTCAGCGTGGAGTCTGCTACTCTCTCTCCCTCTGCAGCTCCCCCTCCTTGTGCGCTCTCTCACTCTCTCTGTCATATAAATAAAAATCTTTTAAAAAAATAAAAAAATAAACATATTAATAAGAGACTTGGGAAAGACTATGAACAAAAGTGGTTTTGAAAGAACTTAGGAAAAGTCAGCTAAAACACCACTAGCCAGCTGTGTACTTAAGGCATATTAATTCACCTTTCTGAGCTTTGGTCTCCTCGCAATAAAATGGGGGTCAAAAAACCTACCTCAAAGAATGGTTGTGAGGATTAAAGGAAATGATGTTTGGCAGATAGC